GCCGCCACCGATACCAGCGTCTCGCCCGTCTCGCGGCAGCCCACGCGGACACCACGACTTCTCCACACGCTCCGCCGTAAGACGCACGGCCAATGGAGGCCTTTGCCGAGGCAACAGGAGTACAGTCGCCTTCGGCGGCGACTGTCAAGCAGCTGCGTAGCTTTCTGGAAAGCCAGGGTGTACGTGGGGGGAGGGGGGGGGGGGGGGGAGGGGGGGGCGGGGAGGGGGGACAGAGGGACAGGGGTGTCAGCCTCGTGCACCACTGCACACGCTTGCACATGCCCGCACTGGTCGACGTCCACACTCACATGCACGCCCTGCCTTGTGTATGTGTGTAGGCTGAGCTCAAGTCGAGGATGCGCAAGGCCGAGCTGGTAGCCATGGCGACTACGCTGGTAGAGGCCGGGGAGGAGGCCGAGTCAAGGGAGGAGGCCGAGACTGGGGCTGTTGTCGGGGTTGAGGCTGTGACTGCGATCAAGGCCGAAGCTGCTGGTGAGTGGAGCGCGGCGCAGATCCGAGCAGCGGCAACGCGGACAACGTCGGTGGTGCTGGCGGTGTGGGCGTACATCGTGGTGTACTCGCTGGTGGTGAGCGCGATCACCGAGGCCCCGTGGTGGGCCATGGTGGCATACTACGCCATCGGAATGGGCTTCCTGTACAACATGCACTGGTTAGTCCATCAGCCGTGGGCTTGGCCCATCTACACTGCACACGCCTATCACCATGAGGTCGAGTGTCCACCGACAGCGTTCTTGGCCGGGGCCGAGGGCTCGTGGTTGGAGCGTGTGGCGCTGACCTCTGGCGGGCTGGCCATCATCGCTGCAACCGTTGTGCTGCTCGGTGTTCCGGTCGGCGTCGCTGTTGGTGCCCTCGGACTGTATGCCTGGATGGGCGCGCTCGGCTCGTACATGCATGGCGCGTTCCACACTCGCGATCACTGGCTGGAGAAGCACGACTGGTTCCGCGTCCTCCGTGCCATGCACTACATCCACCACGTCGGCGACCGGCCCGGCTACGGCATTGACGTCGACGTCCTCACCCAGCCGCGCATGGCCGAGGCCTGTGCGCCGCTTACTCCCGACTCGCTTGTCCTTGTCTCGCACTATGCACAGGTCCCACCGCCGGATGGGTTTCTGGCTTTGGCGCCAGTGACGCGCTCCCACATTGCGGCTGCGGCGCAGGTCGGGCCGCTCATTGCATACTCGCTGTCAATGGAGATCCCGCTGCCGCTACCCGGCCCGGCCGGTGGCTTTCCGGACACGCAGCAGCGTATGGAGTGGGCTGTCAGCCGCGGGTTTGGCGCGCTCCTCGTCCGCCTCTCGCTCTCGGTGGCGCTCGCGCTCACGTGGATCATCTCGCACAACATGCTCACCTCGATGTCGGTCACCGTCGAGCCCAAGCAGGCGGCATCGTTCGCCATCGGCGACACCCTGCACGAGATCACCTATCTCTGGCACCACTACCTCGCAGCCTATCCCGAGACAGCCGCGGCTATCATCCTGGGCCTCGACGCTCTCATCGACATTCTGGTCTTCTCCATCATTGTTGTTGCCGTCATGGGTCCGACCATGCGACCAGTCTTTTCCGGATACGCCTCGGTTGTTCTCCGCCAGATCGCTCAGCTCCTCTGCGAGCTTCCGGCCCCCTCGTCGTCGCTGTGGACGCCGTCGGCGTCGAGCCCGCTCCTCTTCCACGCCTACGCCACTAATGTGGACTTTTTCTTCTCCATGTACCCCGCCATCGCCGTCGTCGCCTCGGTCGAGCTCCTCCGTATCCTTCCCCGGGGGGCGGCCATCCAGACCACGCTGACCACCTGTGGCGCCATCGTCCTCGTCGCCGGCATTTCGATCCTCATCGCCATCCTCCGCATGGACTGGACGCTCTCGCTCTTCACGGGCGTCCTCGCCGGTGCCTTTGCCGTCCTCGTCGGCGCTCGTGTCGCCCCCTTTGTCGACGTCCTCTTGCCGTAACCTGTCGCCGGAGCACGCCTGCCTCCCACGATCATGATCAAAGCTGTACACGTGCTGCAACACCACCACACTCGAATCGGCTGGAGGTACCACAGCCAGAGCCAATCCACTTCTCTCCCCCCCCCCCCCCACACACACACACGCACACACCACACCACACCCATGAGATGGCTCACCCTCTTGGCCTTCGTCACCCTCCTCCAAACCATCGCCCTCGTTGCCCTCACCTCCTACACCGTCCATGACCTCGCATCGCCCGTCCACCACACCGCCCGCGCCTCGCCCACGGCAACACCCACGCCCACGCCTACACCCATGCCAATGTCGACGCCCACATCCATACGACCAGACGCTGCGGCGGCGGTTGTCGAGCCAGCCCACTGTGGGCCGCCGGCAAGCGAGCTGCTGAGGCTGAAGTCGAGCCTTAAGCGGACGGTGGCCGGCATCCACGCTCGGGCGGTGGCGCGCGCCCGGGCGGCGGGATCGAACGCTGTCTTTCCACCCACGGCCACCCTTGCACCCGAACCGCATGCGGTGTTGGATCCGATGACAGCAGCAGCAGAGGATGGCGCGGTGCTGGCCAGCAAGTTGGCGGTCGATGCCGATGGGCCCAGGCTGAGCATCGCGACGTACAACCTGTGGAACACCAATCCACCGTGGGAGGCGCGCGCCAAAGCCATGGCGGCAATGCTCAACGCGCTCGCTCCGCAAGTCCTTGCTCTGCAAGAAGTACGCATTCTGCCCGACGGTGGCAATCAAGCCGACGCACTCATCGCCATGCTCCAGCCGCAGTACTCGGTTGTTTATGCCCGGGTCCTCGGCACACCGGGCTCGGCTGATGAGGAAGGCATCGCGCTCGCCACCACACTCGACATTGTCTCGTCGGCGGAGCATCCGCTGCCGCCGATGACAGGCAACGCTGTGCGCATGCTGCTTCACGTGAGGCTTCGGCTGCCTGGTAGCGGCGACGACGACGACGACAGCAATCTCCTCGACGTCTTTGCCACTCACTGGCCAGTCTACGACTATGAGCAGTGCAACACGGCGCTGCAGGTTGCCGCCATTGCCCGCAAGGTGTGGGCCTCAAACGGCGGGCGCATCGCACAGATCGTTCTCGGCGACTTTAACGCATACTTTGATTTTGACGAGCCGATGCGCATCCTGACCGAGCCGAGCTCACCGTGTCGCCGCGCACCCACCTCGCCCTGTGGGCCAGTTGTGGCTGCGCTTGCCGGCGACGCGCTACCAAGCGATCGCCCGTTTGTGGACGTCTTTGACGTGCTGCATCCGGCCCACCCGCCGCGTGCGCCACCCGATGTCGGCGCCGACGGCAAGCTGCCCGAGCGGTGGTGGGGCGCACCCGAAGTTCCTGTCGGCACCACCTTTTCCAACTTTGCTGACCATCGCATACAGGACTCATCACGGCCCGACCGTATCCTTGCCCGGGGCGATGGCCTCCAGCCGCGCTCCGTCCACACCTTTGGCGGCGAGCCGCTCGCCGAGCTCTTTGCCGGCTACCCGATGTTCCCGTCCGACCATCGAGGCGTCTTTGCTGTCTTTGACCGCCTCTCCCCCTAGCCATCAACCTAGCCTGAATCAATCGCAAACGCCCTCACTCGCCTCAGTAGCCGCCTCGCTTCACCGTCTCGCTGCTTTGCCGCAGACGTCGGCAAATGGCCCCGCTCCCTCACGTTTGCCGCCAGCCAGTCGCTCTGACTCGTACGCTAGCACTCCCACCGCACAGACTGCCACTGCTCTCCCCACACGAGGCAGACACCCCGCCACCATGTCTTCCACCCGCAAACGCGACCACTCGTCATCCTTGTCAGCCTCGGCCTCTGACGGTACGCCCTCGGTCCCCTCCCCTCCTCCCTACCCCCTTGGTCCCCTTCGCTCCACCCGAGTCGCACTAACACCTCCGCCCTGCCCGCCCCCCCCCCCCCCGCCCTAGGCCACGAGTCCAAGCGAACCAAGCCGCTCAAGGTCAAGCTCAAGATGTCAGAGCCTTCCCCAATGCCTCAGATTAGGATCAAGATGGGTGGGCCCAAGTCGCCGGACGCGTCCGAGTCGATGGACGACGACTCCGAGTGGGACGGGTCGGACGTCGACACGGCACCGCGGAAGCGCAAGCGCAAGAACAAGTCCAAGGCCAAGGCCAAAGCCAAGGCCAAGACACGGAGTCAGCGCAAGAAGAAAAAGAAGAAGAAGAAGAAGAAGAAGAACAAGTCGCGTCGTCGTGCGGCATCGTCCGACTCGGGCTACGAGTCGTCGTACACACCATCGTCAGGCCCGTCGTCAGAGGGGTGCTCGTCGTACTCAGCCGTGTCAGACTCGCTCTCGCTACCGTCGGTCGAGTCGTCGGAGGGCTCGCGCGAAACCAAAAAGGCACGGCGGCGTGCCAAGGCGCGGATGTCTGCGGCGAAGCTGAAGGGCGAGGGCGTGAGCAAGGAGCCAAAGAAGCCAAAGCGCAAGCCAGGCAAAGGCAAGCGGTCTCGGAAGAGGGGCGCGGCTGGTGATGGGGACTACGAGCAAGCACCAGATCAGCCGGCGGTGTTTGGAGTCCAGCAGGCCGGGACCGGGACCATCATCCGCGACTGCTCGAATCTCAAGCTCAAGCCCGACTCTGCCACCCGTCCGATCTGGATCACCGACGACGGTCACATCTTTCTCGAGTCGTTCTCGCCGCTGTACCAGATTGCGTGCGACTTTCTTGTGGCGGTAGCAGAGCCAGTCTGCCGCGCGCGGCTCATCCAAGAGTACAAGCTCGGGCGGTTCTCGCTCTACGCCGCCATTTCGGTCGGTCTTGATGCCGACAAGATCATCAAGGTCTTGGACAAGCTCTCCAAGGTCACCATTCCGCAGCAGGTCATTAACGATGTCCGCACAGCAGTGGCCAACTACGGCAAGACCAAGATTGTGCTCCGGCAGTCGCGATACTACCTCGAAACGACGACGCGCGACGTGCTCGAGTTTCTGTTGACCGACCCGGAGCTCGCCGACACGATTGTAGTCCCGTCGCGGGACGACGAGGCCGGCGGGAGCGGTGGCAGTGGCGAGGTGCCTGCCGACGCGGCGGTGACTGGCGCGACCATGTCGTATGCCGATGCCATCATGGCCATGGCCACCGGCAAGTCTGCGGCGGCGGTGGCGGCAGCAGCCAAGACAACGAGCAACTCGGGCCGCAGCCTTGCGGACCGAGTCATTCAGCGGTATGTGCCCGGGGCAAGCGAGACGCGAGCCGGGCTCGACGACGTGCTCCGAGGCACGCAGACGCACATGCAGCGCGAAGGCGACGGCGGCGAGCTAGCGGCATTGGCGAGTGGCGACGGGCGCGAGGCCGACGACGACGACGATGGGCTGGACGTGTTTGGCGCGGCATACGCCGACGCACACGAGCGGTTCTTTGTGGAGTTTATTCCCAACCAGGTGAGCAAGGTGAGGATGCGAGCAACCAAGCTCGACTTTCCGGTCCTCGCCGAGTACGACTTTCGTAACGACGACGCCAACGCCTCGCTCGACGTCCACCTCAAGCCGATGACCTCGATTCGGCCGTACCAGGAGAAGGCGCTGCGCAAGATGTTTGGCAACGGGCGCGCGCGGTCGGGAATCATTGTCCTGCCGTGCGGCGCCGGCAAGACGCTGGTGGGGATCACAGCGTGCACGACGATCAAAAAGTCATGCATCGTCATGTGCACCTCCGAAGTGGCGGTCGAGCAGTGGAAGCGCCAGTTCCAGTTGTGGTGCCAGATTGATGAGTCGTGCATCATGCGGTTTACCAAGGACTCGAAGGACTTTGACGAGGTGCTCGCCACCCGCGACTACAAGCGACCGATTATTGTCATCTCGACCTACACCATGATTGGGTACGCCGGCAAGCGGGCAAACAAGTCGAAGAAGGTCATGGACTACATCCGGGCCCGCGAGTGGGGCCTGCTTGTCCTCGACGAGGTCCAGGTTGCGCCAGCGGACAACTTTTCGCGGTGCTGCAAGGACCTGCAGTCGCACTGTAAGCTCGGGCTGACAGCGACGCTCGTCCGCGAGGACGATCGCATCAAGGACCTCAACTACCTCATCGGGCCGAAGTTGTACGAGGCCAACTGGCTGGACCTGCAGGACGCCGGGTACATTGCACGGGTGCAGTGCGCCGAGGTGTGGTGTCAGATGACTCCGGCATTCTACCGCGAGTATCTGCGGGCCGAGGAGAAGCGGCGCAAGCTGCTCTACGTCATGAATCCGAACAAGTTCCTCGCCACCGAGTTTCTCATCCGCTACCACGAGCGGCGCGGCGACAAGATCCTGGTCTTCTCGGACAACCTCTTTGCCCTGGAGCAGTACTCGGAGCTCCTACAGAAGCCGCTCATCTGCGGCGCCACGCCGGCGGCGGAGCGGCTGCAAATCTTGTACCAGTTTCAGCACAACCCGGCGCTCAACGTGGTGTGCATCTCCAAGGTTGGCGACAACTCGATCGACCTTCCGGGTGCGTCGGTGGTCATCCAGGTCGCGGCCCACTACGGCTCACGGCGGCAGGAGGCGCAGCGGCTCGGGCGCATTCTCCGGGCCAAGGTCAACACCGACGGCGGCTTCAACGCCTTCTTCTACTCGGTTGTCTCCAAGGACACTCAGGAGATGGCTTACTCGTCGAAGCGGCAGCAGTTTCTAGTCAACCAGGGCTACTCGTTCAAGGTCATCTCGCACCTCCCGCACACCACGCCCGAGCCGGGCTCGATGGTCGAGGTCCTGATGCGCAAGGAGACCCAGGACCGGCTGCTCACTAACGTCTTGCACGCCTCGATCGAGGCTGGCGAGACCGAGCGCGACTACGACGACGCCGACTACCTCAACAGGGCCACTGGCGCCGCCACCCGCGTCGTCTCCTCGATGGACGCCATCGGCTCGACCGGCTCGGGCCTCGTGTACTCGATCTTCAACCCGGTCGCTCGCCGTGCCAAGCCCAAGCGCAAGCCCAAGGCCCGCCGTGGCCGTGCTGACCTCCCGCAGGGCTCGCTCTTCAAAAAGTTCTTCCAGCCCAAGGTGCGGTCCAAGGAGGAGAAGGAGGCTGCTGCCCAAGCGCTCCGCGAGCAGCGACTCAAGTCCAAGTTCATGCCGGCTACGCTGATGTAGACGGCTTGCAAGGAAAACAAACACGATGCCATGGAACACACATGAACACTCTTGCGCACACGTACATACGCGTACGCATACACACCCGTACGCGTACGTGCGCCTGCGCAGCGACATGAGGTCGAGCGCTCCCTACACAAACACACTCTCTCTAGCTCTATCTCGCGTGGACGCCATGCCCGGGTCGACAAGCCTCGTTTACAGGTTCTGCAGCTCACGGAGACGACGGATGGTCGAGCGCGTGGTAGCGGCGGCAGCAGTCGAGAGGGTGTACGCACCACCGGCCATGATGCGGCGGCACGAGCCGCAGTTCCAGATGCCAACGCAGGTGCGGCGGACCGAGTCCTTGCCGCAGAACGCGCAGGTGTACTTGGCGTGCTGGGAGATCTCCATCTTGCGCACCATCTTACGGAGCGAAGCACCGTAGCGGGTGCCGTACTTGCCGGTGATGCCGACCTTCTTGGTGTGCTTGGTCTGTTGTCGGAGGAGGGGGGGGGGGGGTTAGTCTGTCCGACACCGGTGCATGCTTCCTCTCTAGTCTCTCCGTCCTCTCCACACTCGCACTTCCTGCCATGGCGCCAGTCCCCACACACACACACCGGCTCCTCTCTGCACGCAAGCAGCGCAAGAGGGGTCGCCTGGTGGCCCTTGGTGGCGGCCGGCCACCGCCAAAGGCGAGGATGGCGAGCCGAGCGAGGCGACGGCGACCAAATTCGGATCCCCCAAGGCGGCGTCCTTGGCTTGCTGCAGCCTAGTTGCCGGTACCAGCCATACGGCGAGACAAGCCACCACCAAGCGTGTGTGTCTCTCGCGCCTCTCCGCGGTGCGCTCTGCGAGTTGCAGCAAGGGTGCCAGCCGCAGGGTGCGCATCAGCGATGGCGGCGTGTGTGTCGGACAAAAATGGCTCCGGCATCAGCCGACGACGGGGGGGCAAGGCGTATAGAGCCCGCACCACAGCACCATACCACGCACCAACAGCCTGTCCTTCGAGTGGTAGTGTGTGGCAGAGCAAGGCGTGTATGCTGGGTGTGGTGGACACCGTGAGCTTGCTCAGCTATTGCTTCAGACTGGTACGTACCATATTGTGTGTGCGAGAGGAGAGGTGGCGAGACAAAGTGAAAAACAACGCGAGCTGGGCTTGAGCCATTCATTCATGCCAGCCACCATGCAAATCGAGTCCAACTACCATTCATTCATTCAGTCGTCGCCCCTTTTTAATATTTCATTCATCGCAACGTCAACGAAAACAATGCATGGTTGTTGAGTGAGGAATCAAAGGGTGTTGGGGGGGGGGGGGTTGGGGGGGCGGCGGCTGAGCATGGCTGGGCCAATGACGCCGGGTGCGGGCCATTGGTGAGGCGAGGAGACGACCGCCGGTTAAGCCTCTCTCGCACTCGACAATGACGGTAGGTGTGATGGAATGAGAATACGAGTGAGGATGCGCATGTAGTGGGCAGAGGTAGAGCGGGTGAGGCGGAGGGTAGGCTGCTCCTCCCGGAGCTGTAGGCCCCAACAGTGGGCGGGCGGTGTGAGCAGCGGGCGGCGATGGATTGATTTTCGTCGGCTGGCAAGTGCAAAGAGCGAGCAGAGACTCACAGCGTACGGGAGGCTGTGTGTTTGCGAGTAGACGCTGTTCCTGCTGTACGAGTCTGCGGCTGGGTACGCGCTCTTTGAGCGGCTGGAGTCCGAGGTTGTGGCGACGGAGGATGCCGAGTGGCAGAAGTCAATGCAGGACCTGGGCAAGTTTGGTAAGATTGTTAAGATGAAGGGCTTTGCGCCGTTCCTCTCGGCCGAGGCGTCGCTGGCGAACATCAACGACGTGTCGGAGGGCCTGCTCAACGAGTTTCTGCAGGACTTTCTGGTGACGTACATGCCCAAGGCGAAGGGCAAGGTCGAGCTTGGTGTGGCGGATCCCGCGCTCGGCTCGGCCATCCAGTCGGCGACCTCGATCTCGTGCGTGTCGAACAAGATGGTGCGCGAGCTGCTCCGCGGCGTGCGGCTCCACTTTGATGCCTTTATCTCTGAGCTCGAGGACGGCGACCTGGAGAAGGCGCAGCTTGGTCTCGGGCATGCGTTCTCGCGGGCTAAGGTCAAGTTCAACGTCAACCGTGTGGACAACATGATTATCCAGTCGATTGCCATGCTCGACGTGCTCGACAAGGACCTCAACACCTTTGCCATGCGCGTCAAGGAGTGGTACTCGTGGCACTTCCCGGAGCTGGTCAAGATCGAGTCGGACAACGTCAAGTTCACCCGGCTTGTACTCCTCATCGGCGACAAGGTGACCGTGTCCGAGGAGACGCTTGACGGCATCGAGCAGATTGTGGGCGATGCGACGACGGCGCAGTCGATCCTTGTTGCGGCGCGGACGTCGATGGGCCAGGACATTGCCGAGATCGACCTGACCAACGTCACGCACTTTGCCGAGCGCGTCATTGCGCTTGCCGACTACCGGACCGGCCTCCACGCGTACCTGCAGGAGAAGATGAACACGTGTGCGCCGAACCTCGCCGCCCTCATCGGCGAGTACGTCGGTGCCCGCCTCATTGCGCACGCTGGCTCGCTGACCAACCTCGCCAAGTACCCGGCGTCGACCGTCCAGATCCTCGGTGCCGAGAAGGCCCTGTTCCGGGCGCTCAAGACGCGCGGCAACACGCCCAAGTACGGCCTGCTCTACCACTCGTCCTTTATCGGCCGCGCGGCGACCAAGAACAAGGGCCGCATCTCGCGCGTCCTCGCCAACAAGTGCTCCATCGCCTCGCGCCTCGACGCCTTCTCGGACGTCCCCACCGCCAAGTTTGGTGAGATGCTGCGCGACCAGGTCGAGGAGCGCCTTGCCTTTTACTCCACCGGCAAGGCCCCGCGCCGCAACAAGGACGTCATGAAGGAGGTCATCGCCGAGCTCTCAGCCGAGGGCCTCTACGATTCGCTCAACGCCGAGGCCGGCGCCTCGGCTGACAAGCCCTCCCGCAAGCGCGCCCGCGACGACGACTCGGACGACTCGGACGACGACGAGCCGGCCAAGAAGAAGAAGAAGAAGTCCAAGTCCAAGGACAAGTCCAAGTCCAAGGACAAGGCCAAGTCCAAGTCCAAGGACAAGAAGAAGTCCAAGAAGAAGTCCAAGAAGTAAGCTGCCTACCAGGCCGCCTGCAGACAATCTCCCCCCCCCCATCTAAACCACTCTAACATCCATCTCTCTACCACATCGCCGCTTTTACTGTATCACCTCTGCGCTGGTTTAAAACCTCCTCGGGCCTACGACTCCTCAAGGTTGATCGAGTTCTTAAACTTGCCGTACAGCACAACCTTGAGCTCGGCGAGCGCCTCGCGGAGCGTCTCGATCTCGGCCTCGGCCGCCGTCACCTTGGCCTCCGTCTCCTCCTGCAGCGCCTCGATCCGCGCCTCGACCTCGTCCGCCGGCAGCATGACAAAGACTTCGCCAATCTGGAACCGCAGCGCATCGTCGTCGTCGGCCATCAACACCTCGGTCGACGCATCCTCCAGGTTGTCCAGCTCCTCCTGCCACCGCCCGATGTCGGCCTCGAGCTCGTGCACACGCTGGTTCAGCCGGCCAAACTTGTTGATCCGCTGCTGGTCCTCCCAGTTGACATCCACATCCACCTCGTCCTCCTTCTTCAGCTGTCCACTCCCTCACCGTCCCGCCAGTCCCAGGTCAGTCTCCTTCCCCCACCCCCACCCCCTCCTTCCTTGACCTGCTGCTGTCCGCACTCTGCATCCACCACCCACCGCCTGGCCCTTCCTCCCCCCCCCCCTCCCCCCCCCCCTTCCTACCACTCACCCACCCACACCCACACCCACGCCTCCCCCTCCCCTCCCCCTCCCCTCTCCTCCCCTCCCCCTCTCCTCAACCTCCGTACCAGCCGTGCGTTCTGCATCCTCCTCCTGCGACGTGTGTCCCTCTGCCTCCCGCTCCCGCCCTCCCTGCCCAGCAGCCAAGCCACTCGCCTCGCGCGACCAACCCCTTTCCCCCCACCCTCCCCCTCCCCCCCCCCCCCCACCCACCCACCTACCCACCCCTGTCGTCTTTTTTTTTTGCCTCACCAATTCCGGCAGCGGAAAAAACGAACACTCTGCCCAGCGTTTCGTTTGCATCAACGTTGTTTTTCTGCGGCTCCGAAAACGAGATATTCCCACCGCAAAACCGAAGGCGTCGGCAGCGCGACTCTATCGGCGGAGAGTGTGTGTAAGCCAAGCGGGGGTGTCCGAGCCAAGAGAGGCTCACCACTCCTCGCTTCACCTGCCACAGCCTCTCTTCTGCCCGAGGCATCGCTACCTTGCCCTCTCCTCGTAACGTTGTGTGTGGCAAGGCCTTTTCTCCTTTGGATACCTGCAGGCACCGCCCGCCCGCCCGCCCGCCCACACTCTCCCAAACACCTCGCATGACCTCCCGTTCCTCTCCGCCACAGCTCCAAGCTGGAGTAGTAGGCGAAGCCACCAACATGGCAAGCAACAGCTCAACCAATATCTCGCCAACACCCACCGCAGGCGCCGGACCAAGCGCCAAGAGCGCATCCAAGCAGCCACGAAGCCCTCCGCCGCAGACACCGACTGAAACCCGAAAGCGAAAGCGGTCGCCGCCGACCCCGTCGACGTCGCCGCCGCCGCCCACAAAGTGCGCTCGCCCGCTACGCGGCGGCTCGTCGCCGTCACCCACGCGCGCTCTGCCCGACACTCCGCGCGCCGCTGCGGCGGCGCTCGGCTCGTTTGCCACGCTGGCCCCGCTGCCATCGGTCGCCACAGACTCGGCCGACGTTCTCCCGGTCCAGCTCCGCACCCTGTGGAACCGATTTCTCGCCGCGCATTACTTCACCTCGTCGCACTCGGTGCCGGCGGCCGTGGACGGCGGCCCGGCCTCGACCGTCACGGCCGGCAAGGCTCCGCGCCTGACGCCGACCCCGGGCTGGCTGGCGGTGTCATCGTCGGCCCACGGCTCCGACTCGGCACCCGGCGCGGCCGCAGACTCGGCCGGTCTCGTCTCACCCCCACAGCGATCGCTGGGCCGCGCCTCGTACTCGCCGGTCCCACACTCGCCACCGCACTCGCCGTCGCTCGTCTCGCGTGCACCATCGGCCGCCGCCGCAGCAGCACCTATCTCGGCGGCAGCAGCGGCAGCTGCTGCTGCTCACCGTGCGGTTGCCAAGTCATCGCACGACGTTCTGGGCCTCAAGACCCTTGCCGAGCGGGCAACTCCGGCACAACTCGACTTTTGTCTGCGGACGCAACTGCTGCGGCCAGACCATATCATCACACTCTTTGAGCACGTGCCCGAGCCGACCAAGGCCCAAGTGCTGGAAGACATCCTCGCCAAGGCGCCGACAGTGCCATTGGCCTCGGCATCTCAGGCCGACTCGCCCTCGGGTTCGGCCTCGGGTTCGGCCTCGGGTTCGGCCTCGGGTTCGGCCTCGGGTTCGGTCTCGTCGAGCCTCTCGCCCGAGCTTGTATTCATGACCGAGTCGGACTCGGACGATCCCGAGGCGACGCTGGCGCTTGCCTCGGCGTCCCAAGAGCAGAGCCTCGTGCAGGCGCTGCCGTCGCTTTCGCCACTGGAAACGCTGGTAGCAGTTGCGGCACTCTCCTCGGTCATCTGCGTCGAGTTTGGCAAGGCGATTGTGGCCCGGCTGTCGCGCGGGCAGGTGCGGATGGCGCTGCCGCTGATGTCAGAGACGCTGGTGGTTGCGCTGGGCGACCTTGCGCTTGGGCGCGCGCCGCCGCCGCCCGGCACCCAGGTCAAGTGGTCGATGACCGAGCTCGAGCAGTTTGTCCCGCTCATGTCAGTCGAGCAGCTGCTTGTGCTCACCGCTCACGCAGCGACGACCAAGTCCAAGCTCCCGCTCGACGTTGTACTCTCGTCGGCTTCGGCGGCGCAGCTGAGGGCGCTGGCTTCGCTCACGTACAAGCTCATGCACCCGTACTACGGCAAGCCTGCAGCGGCCGGGCGGGTGACGCTCGACGATGTCCGCGCGCTTGCTGGCGCCTTTGACGACCTCCGCAAGGCCAACAACCGGAGGGCCCAGCTGCTGCAGGTCCAGGGCACCGGCATCCACACGCTCGGCTCGGCGATGGCAGCGAGTCGGGTGCCGCCGCTGCCACCACCGCCGCCGACCGACGAGCGGCCGGTCGTCGACTTGCCGGCGCTGGCCGTCCATCTCCTCCTCGCCGCGGACGACGCAGGCGCTGCCGTACGCCTCCCAGTCGACGCCACGGTCCTGGCCTCGCTCGCCGGCGTGCTACTGGCCAACTTTTGGTCGCTCTCGCGGGCGACACAGCGGCAGGTAGTCCAGCTTCTGGACAGGCCTGGTCTGGAGAACGTGATTGGCAACGTGCCATGGCACGTCGCCGCCGTCTACTCGCTCCTCACGCCACTGCAGCGCAACTCGTTTGTCTGCCTCATTGCGCCCAAGCGCGACATGCTCCATTACCACGCGCTTCGCAAGGACGAGTCTGCGGCCATCCTGCGGTCAACGTCATACCTCGAGCTTGCACACTGGATCGAGAGCGCGAGCCAGCCAGAGCTGGGCGTCTTGGTGGCGTCGATGAGCATCTACCAGCTCCGCGCAGTCCTCCCCATCATGTCGTGCGGCCAGCTCCGATCGGCGCTGCCGTCACTCTCGCCGACCGGCCTTGAGTCGCTCGGCCGGTTCGCCGCAAAAGGCCGGTTCCTTGCCGACCTCCACACCCAGCTCCTCTCGCCGGCCGAGGCGCTCGTTGTTGTCGGCTCGTTTGACCTGGAGCAGACCATCCTGGCGCTCACCCTCTTCTCCAACGACTCGACGCAGCTAGCTACGGCGAGCAACGGGCTCGGATGGCCGCCGCTTGTCAAGCGCAACCTCTTTGCCGGCCTCTCCGCCCTGCCTGTGGGCCACATCAAGGACGCGCTGGTGGCGTACGCGCTCCCGCACTACATGGTCGAGGCGTGGATGCGGCGGATCGAGCCGAGCGCGGTCGACGCATTCCTCGACGAGTTTGTGTCTGAGGAAGAGGTGTGGGATCTTGTGCTCTCACCGTCGTTTGGCTCGCGGGCCGAGTTTGAGGACAAGGTCTTCAAGTCCTCGTTTCTGCAGCTTGTCCTTGCTGCCCGGGTCGGCGTCCTCACGCCGGAGCTCCTTGCGCGCGAGGTCTCGCTCTCAATCCCACTCCTCGACCGGTTGGAGCTTGTGCTCTTCACCTCACCCGAGGCCCGCAAGATCGTGGTCCGAATGCTGCCGACAAACCACCTGCGGAAAGCGCTCTTTGCGCTCACCGAAGACACGCGGCCGCACAGCTCGCCGTACTCTAAGCTTGCGCGCAAGCTGATGCAGCCGCGCAAGCTCCTCGAGCTCTTTGTCTCGTCGATGACGGTGTACCAGCTCGCCCACCTGCCGCGGCTCGACGACGCCGGCCTTGTCCAAGTCATTCCGCTCATTTCAGACGTGCAACTCTGGTCAATGGCGCGCGAGTTGGCAGTGGCCAAGCTCGAGCCGATCGCCAAGTACGCGACGCCGAGCCAACTGCAGACGCTCATCTCGTCGATTCCGCAGCGCAAGCGGAGGGCCTCGCTCCCAACCGACGTTCACATCTCGCTGCGCAACCCGGTGGCGTCGGCGTACTACATCCAGGACAACCAGTACTCGGGCTGGGAGCTGGCCATTGCCATCTCGCTCGCCGACTTTTGGCCGACCATGCGCGAGATCCTCTCGGTCCTCCTCCCACAGCACCTTTTCTACATTGTGCCGGTGCTCTCCGACGAACAGCTCGCAGACCTCCTTGCTGTCGTCCACACCGAGCGCTTCCGCTCGGTCTCGCAGCGAATGACGCCTTCGCAGCGCTCCAAGTTCCTTACTCCACTCCTCGCGTCGGTTCACGAGTGCGACGCCACGCTCGCCACCATCGAGGCGCAGATGGACGCGCTCGAGGCGGCGCTCGCCGGCCTCGACGTCGCCGCCCCCGAGTCGGCCACAGAGTGGCCGCGGCTCCGCACCCGGTTCTCCACCCTCACCGCACAAGTCCACAAGCTCGTCGGCAAGCTCCACAAGGTGGCGGCGACCGCAACTGACATTGACGGCCTCGCTGAGTCGATGGCCCGAGCCAACGCTGCCGCCCGCCGCACCGCCCACCTCCCGTCGCGGCCCAACAACCTCGGGACGCTGCTCGAGAAGGTCAAGGGCGCGTTTGCCATGGCTGCCGCCCGCGACGCCGCCGCGCGTGGTGTCGATGAGTCACGTCTGCCAGACTCGGAGCCGGCGTACATGATTGTCGGCGGCCAGTTTGGCCGGACCAACACCTCGATCAAGGAGCTCGGTCTCGCCTCGTTTGAGGAGCTCCCGGTCATCGGCCTCGATACGGTCGGCGACCTGCGGGCCAAGAACATCCACACCGATGTCGACCTCATGCGCTTTGTGGCCCAGCCCGCCGTCCAGGCCCTCCTCCAGCGCTACCGCCGCGACCGCGGCGTCCCGCTTGTTGTTGAGACCGAGCCGCCGCCCGAGCACGCCGCCCACCCGGTCCCGGCCCTCCCGCCGCCGCCCCTTGCCCCGCTTGCACCCTCGGCCGCCGCCGCACCAGCCCCCCAAGCCACCGGCGCGCCCGCACCAGCCCCGCACCCGGCCGCCGCGGGCCCGTCGCCCGGGCCCACTCCGATGCCAACCGCCGCCCGACCCGGAGGCTCGTCACCTCCGCCATCGTCAGGATTGGCATGAGGGTAAAGACCTGTTCCCCCAACCCAGTGCAATGACATTGCCGGCATTCCTCTCGGTTGCCGCGAAACATGCCGGCTGCCTACGACGCCAAGGACTGGATCAAGCTAGCCGTCAAGGTGCGCAGCCGTGATGGATCGGTCCTCCCCGTAGTCTTTCCCAAGATTGCCCTTGTCTTTGCCATCTGCATGGTCATCCTCATCGTCAATGAGACCATGTTCTACAAGGTACGCAGTGCCGGTACCGGTGGCGTGTCATGGCTGCCTCCCCCCCCTCCCCCCCGCCATCCCCCCCCCCCTCCCCACCACCACCACCACCCACCCACCCACGCACACGAACAGGTGCACACCCCCAGCCCATACCTGGTATAGCTTGTGCTCATAGCTTGTCCCCATCTCCTCTTCCCCCTCTCCCCACCTGCCTCCACCCCCCGCCAATGGTGCCATCATACAGTCCCCTC